AAGAGAGAAAACATTCCACGAGGAGGTGGGGAGGACGGCCACACTGTAATCCCTTCTTCTCTCGGGATTTTGGGTACCCTACATGCACCCAGCGTGATTTTCAATCCGCTGGGTCCAGGACTCGAACCGTGGTCAGCCATGCGCTTTAACGACCCACCACCTATTGGCCCTGGAATACGCTGTCTTAATGTCTATGCCACCTACAGGCCTGAGGTTAAAGATGTTTTCAAAGACAGGGAGGAGCCACAGAGTGATACAGAAGATAGTCGCTAAGGAGAGAAGCGGGCGGTCACTCACTCACTACACGGCTAGCAGCGGCTCCTGGGGCAGGCTGGGGGGTGGGGGACAGACTGTGGAGAGAGGAGGAGGGACGGGGAGGGGGACTGTGCGGGGAGGGGCCTGAGAAAACACTAGCAGACAGACCCTGTTCTCACAGCGGTGATGCAGGCTAGTAGCAGAGATACTGGGCACACAAGCTGTGTGACGTCCCCTGGCACACATCAGGCGGGTGAGGCTGGTGTTTCTCAGCCTGCTACTCCTGGGCTGTCACAGAAAAGACTAATGGGTGCTAACTGGAAGGGGTGGAGGGAGTTTCACAGGGCGAGGCGCACATGCCCTGTAACTAAAGCAGGGGAAGATGGGGAGACACAGGGTCGGAGGCAGGCGCAGAGGCAGTGCTGGCATGGCTGCACCAAGGCAGAGCTGAGGCCTCAGCTAGGGGTTTCGGAATGAAGCCCAGGAAGGGGTTTCTGCACACAGCATGACCTGTGGACTGGAAGGGCTATGTCTGCTCAGCAAAGCAGGAAGTGACTCTGACCAGACCAGAGGCTTGGGCAGTGGCAGACAGTGGCACTGTTCAGGACAAGATGCTAGCCAGGCAAAAGCAACAAGCCTTGGGGAGGGTGTTCGAAAAGTGGGAGGGGGACTCCTAGGTTTGTAGCCTGTGCGACAGACAGAAATGGAGCCACTCAGTGCTGGGAGCAGCGGCAGTTGTGAGGGGCACTCACGGGCTGCTGAGACTCCAGGGAAAGGCGTGTGATGTGGTCAGCACAGAGCCCCACACGGAGCGGGCGCCTGATATACAGCAGCCGCCCAGCGACATCTCCCAAGGTACACACGTTCTATCGTGTCTCCGGGTGGCAACCAGCACCTTCCAAATCAAGTTGCATGCTTCCTTTTCCAGAATGCTTTCCCTGGTTCTCCCCTGAAACCCCACATGCCAGTCTGTTCCACCTTGGTCCCAGGTGACACGAATTTCAAATGCTGAGACTCTACCCTCCCACAACTTCTAAGTGTCAGGCTGTTCATAGCAAACTCCAGCCCCATGAGTCCCAGATCCATTCCCACCTCTCCAGGGAACGTCCCCTCTTCCTCCAAACCCTTCGTCTTTTCGGCCACATTCCTGTGACAGCACCAGCACAGGCCACAATCTGGGTTGCCACGCCATGATGACACACTTCCTAATGAGACATGTCCCCATTCCATGTTCCCCAGTCACTGCAGGCAGCTGATAAATACTCCGACACACCAACGGACGTATCGACAACCAGGACAAGTACTAGATCTGGGTGGGCACATCCACGTACCTTTAAGATTTCAGGGTCTGAAACCATGGTTACTTGTTGCTTCATTTCAGGCCCCATATTCATGGGGTCTTCTTGTTTCATTTCAGGATTTGACCACATGGGTACTTCTAGATTAAATTCGGGGTCTGTTGCTATAGGTAATTTTCGCTCGATTTCGGGGTGTGTACAGATGGGAACTTCTTGCTTCAATTCAGGGTCTGTAGACATGGGCATTCC